ATGGATAATATATATCCCTGTTCACTCGTTCATGGTTAATTTATCCATATTTGAGTGTTTTTTTTTTTTTTGGGGGGGTGTTTTTTTTTTAATTTCCTTTCCTTCCCTCTATCCCATTTTCTTTAAGGAGAAAGAAAACGTCGAAGAAACATAATGGTAATAAAGAAAGTAATAAGGATTATTCTAGAGGGATACTATCATTTACACATTTTTTTAAGCATATAAAATTATGTATTGACTGGATGAGTTTTTTTCGCCTTTTTTGCGAGAGAGAGTGAGGGAGGGGGAGGGAAAGGGAGGGGGAGAGGGAGGGAAGAAGGGAGGAGGGTCCTTCATTACATATTCATAAACATCTCTCGTACATTTTAGACCTAAGAGAGATAAGAAATTATTTCATCTTCTTTCTTTCTCTCTTTTTCAATATCTCAAAAGTGTTTTTTTTTTTTTTCGTTTGAGTGTGTGAGACTCTCTCCTCGAGTATGACGTCACTATTTTTGGGATCCTCAACGAGTGTGACGTCACAAACCTCGTGGAAAAAACAAGTAGTGACATCATAGAATCCATACGTGACGTCATAAATCAGCTGGAACCCGGATTATGACGTCACACTCGTGGAGGAAACAGGGTATAGAGACGCCACAGATATCCAAGAGTGACGTCATAAATCGGCCCAAAACCATCACGAAATGTGACGTCATGACCAAGTCAACATTGAAAACATCATAAATAAACTTGACTTCCAGTTAGGCGCCATGCAAGGACATCAGACTTAGAAGAAAGTAAATAACATTCACATAAATATATTACAGATGTCTTCACCAGGAACCTCCACTCGGCCTACGACACAGACACGTCATAAACACGTCACAGACACGTCACAGACACGTCATGGACACGTCTACCACTCAGCCTACGACACAGACACGTCATAAACACGTCATAGACACGTCATGGACACGTCTAGGCTACGTCATTCCCATCCTCATACACAAGTCTTAGAAATTGGTTAGTGGATCTTATGCAGATGTTACCTTCTAAGCGTCAAACAGATATTTAAATAATAATAATGATAATAATATAATAATAAAGAAAAAAAAAATGCAGACCATTTTCATCCTATGTTCATATTTTTTTTTTTAGTTTTTTTTTCCTTTCATGTCGAGGAGAGAAAAAAATACATATATAATATATATAAAAAGCAATGCAAAATGAAGAGTATATATAGTAAGTACAGGACTAATTCCAAAAAAAAAGAAAAAAATACAAAATAGATAAGAGAGACGAGGAAAGAAAAATCGAAAAAAAAGAGAAAAAAACAGAGAGAAAAAATTCACTATCTACAAAAAGAGGGAAAGGAATTAAAAAGTAAAAGAAAATTCTTTATAGCACTTACAACATTCTGTACAATCAGTTCCCTTCTATGTACAACACCCACCCTGTCCCACCCACCCACCCAAATTCTTTTATTTTCCCCTTCCTTATAAATACAGCAACTAAGAGCGGCGATAAATGAGGAAAGGCGAATTTATTGAGGGAGAACTTTGTACAAAATCCACCTAAAAATATATATATATATATTTATATAATAAATCCATTCGCTTGACGACGACGAAGAAAAAAAAAAAAATATTTGAAGAGTTCAGCGAAATGTGGATACGTTTTAGCTTTCCGTATCCGGTTTTTCTCGTTTTGTTTTTTGTTTTTTTTTCGTGTGTATTTTGATTTATTATCTATGAACGCTACTCACTTGTTTATTCATTCTCCCAAATAGATTCACACTTCCCACAGAATTAAGGGAAACGACTGTTAGATTCGAAAGAAAGGAGGAGGAGGAGGAGGAGGGAGAAGAGGAGGAGGAGGAGGAGGAGGAGGAGGGAGAGGAGGGAGAAGGAGGAGGGGGGAGGAGGGAGAAGAGGAGGTGGAAAATGAGGAGAAAGGAGAAAGGGAGAAGGAGGACGAAGAAGAAGAGGAGGAAAAGAAATGTTTTTGGCAATTAAGGAAGAAGAGGAACAAAAAAAAATTGAAGGGAGAGGAGGAGGAGGAGGAGGAGGAGGGGGAGAGGAGGAGGAGGAGGAGGAGGGGAGGAGGAAGAGGGAGGAGGAGGAGGAGGGAGGAGGAGAGGAAGGAAGGGCGGGTGGAAAAAAATATAATATACAAATGCTTCGTTTTTAAATTATGAAATTATAATTATATAAATTGTAATCTAACAGTCACTTCCTTGGCGTTACAGATTATTTTAAAACACCATATATGGACGACATCAATCCGACAGATTTTTTTTTTTTTTAAGCATTTTTTAAATATTTTTTGTGAGAATTCTTCGTTTTTTTTTTTCTTTCTTCAAATATCTGGATTGCCACGTGACAAAAATAGGATTGACTTTGTTTGTTTGTATTTGTCGTGAAATACTATTTTTTTTTGTGGGTTGTATTATTTTTTTTTTTTGTAAATTGCTTTGTATCTCTCTATAACATCCATACATTATACAATTCTACAATTAAATTTCACACATTTCATTATCAAATAAAGCAGAGAAAAAAAAAATAAAAAAAAAAAAAGAATTGCAGTGATGGATAAACTCAGAAATAATATTAACTTCTTAACTTATTATTATGTTTTTTTTTCTGTCCATTTGTTTGTTTGTTTATCTTCTTCAGAGCCAGACTCACGTGACGTCATAGCCAAAAATCCGTGACGTCATGAAGGACTTGCGCAGAGATATCTTTGGTTGGCGAGTTGTGCGCACGTCGGCATTTCAGGGGGGGGGGGGGGGGGGGGGGGCGTGGGGGGGGCACTCTGGGTATGTGGGGGGGAGGGTATGTGGTGGGGGGGAGGGAGGGGTATATTTTCGGGTATGTAGGGCGGGGGGGGCCAAGGTAGGGAGGTGTGTTTAGGGAAGGTTCGGGGTGTGGGGTTGGGGTTGGGGGGTGTATTTCGGGTATGTGTGGGGGGGGGGCTGTGTAGAGGGAGGGGGGTATGGGGAAGGGGAAGGGGAAAGGGGGGGTAGGGGGTATGGATGCCCGTTACCATGCCAAGATCTCCGAGCTCTGATGGTCGCTGAACCCGCCTGTGTGGGAGGAAAAACAAAATGGCGTCAGTGATGATAAATTTTTTTGGGGGCTGAGATGTATAGGCCTATATATAATTGTGATTTTTATTTTTATTTATTTTCTTGTTTATTTACTTGCTCTATCTATCTGTCTTTATATCTATTTATCATATTTTGGTCTATCTATTTTTTTATTTATTTACGTGCTCTATCTATCTCCCTATATATATATGCATATTATTATTGGATGAATACGTAATATATAAAATATATATATTTTTTTTCATTTACTTGTCTATCTATCTGTCTTTCTATCTATTTATCTCCCTATATATGTGTATAATATATGAATGAATACGTAACATATATATCAGTTTAAAAACCTATTCTTTACAATCTTTTTAGTAGAAGAATAAAAAAATATATATATAATAAACCCAAATATATGTAATAAAACTAAGAATTAAGAAATAGAAATATAGAAATTATCAGCAAAGATTAAAAAAAATAATAATACAAACACAGCAAAAACTAAATATCTAAACAAGAAATAGAAAATTAAAAATTTCCAGCATTTTTTTTAAATGAAATAAAAAAAATAAAAGAAACAGAAATAGTAAATATAAAAAATCTAGCAAAAAAAAAAAAAGTAAAAAAAAAAAAAGAAGAAAATAGCAAAAAAAGAGAAAGAAAATAGCAAAAAAAAGTAAAAAAAACAGAAAGTAAAAAAAACAGAAAGTAAAAAAAAAAGAAAAAAAAAGA